GTTGTGGCGAGCCACCGCATCTAAAACTAGTAAGAGTGGCCATGTACAGCTTCCGACGCGATTTGCGTTGTTCCGCACTGTTCTGTGGACATGAAGGCCCCACAACAGATTTCTCAGACGATGCCTGATAAAGAGCTAGCTGCGTGGACTTCCCGTGTCAGTATCGAGACGCCACATTATGAAGGTAAGGATGATTCGCATAGGGCCGAAAGCAGTGAGATTTTACCCAAGGCGGTGCGGCAAGATGCCATCTCCAGCTCACGGATGATCAAAAAGAAAAGGTGAATAACTACTCACTCGGTCAAGGCCGCGAATGCTACTGTATCTTCAACGACGTGACGAATCATTGAACAATGGCATGTGCCATCCAATTGTACTGTGAGAATTTCCAGACGTACTGAACCTGTCAAAACTCGAAGCTACTAGCTTCCTGACAAAGCTTTAGAACAGTATTTTTTTCAGAAAGCAACTTACTTGAACTCGGAAGTTTCTCCTGAACACAAAATAGTTTTCCTACTATAGACGAGAATTGACCTTGCAGAGCTTTGCTGCGAAAGGCACACCCGATCTCCGAAATATTGAATTATTCCCGGACTACACGTTGATGATCGATCGATTACACAGACGTAGAGTCAAAGGATCATTTTTACAGTTTCCGTAGATAGAAGAGTTTGGCACAATATAAATCTTGTACCAGACGCAATGTGTCGTGTCACGAGGTGATGCCGTCTATCACGGCCTTCTTCGCCGAAATATTGATAGAGCGTAAACATTCAATCTGCACTCATCGTTAGCCTCCTGGTATCGAAAAGCAAGCGGATTTTGGCGACTAGCTCGTACTGTTATAAAACAGAAGAGTGCCAACGTGCCGATACAGACCTTGCGCTCCAGGAAGGGTGCATCAAATAATGCTCATGTCCGAATGCACGATATAAAGTGCACATGATCTGGTGGTGGAAAACTGTCAAATTCTTATGCAGTTATTTATTATCTTATTTACAGCAGTGCAACCCAAGCGAAATACAATTTGTGTGGCTAGTTGTGCCGCAGAATCATTCCAACTCACTAACGACATATAATCATACGGTAACACAGTTGTTTAGATCCCTACATATACGTTTGCAAAAATGCTCTTTGACGCTTTAATTGACCAAAGTCTAGCTAGAGGTAAAAAGCTTGCTGTCGACGCGCACTTAAGTACTTCTGTCACACGATTGAGGTCATGAAAGCAAACAGGTTTTTTGCCAGCGTTGAAAAGTGTATCCAGATTAGAAGTCTTGGTTGCTTCAGAGCAACAACGGTATTTGTGTCCCTTATAAGGTTAGTGCCATTTGCGCATCGCGATCACCCCTATCCCAAATCGACCTTCGTAAGTGGTAAGGATACGCTACCCTCCTGTAAAATATCAGCTCGAGGGTTCATGCAGAGATTGCGAGCGCCTGTCAGACTTGTTGAAAGATGAATGTGGATTTCCACAAAGAGCAATATCATTACAAAGCTTCTTACAAAATCAGAACGAACTCACAGCTAGCGCATCTTCAGCTTTGTCGGATGCGGCATAACACCTCGGCAAATGCATGACGCTTAAGTTAACGCGGTTGACTGCGCATTATTAGATATATTACCCGCGTTCAAGTACAGACATCTTAACACAGCAAAGATAAAGTAATATGTTTATAACGAAGATCTACTAACGATAAAGTGTAAACGCATAGATCTCTTGTGCACTCTCTGAATTCTAACGCTTCATGGTCATAACAGACCGCGCATCTTTATGGACTACCATACATATGCCGCTTAATCGTAGCGAACAAACATATGCTTGTTTTTTCGCGTTATGAAATCCCTCATTAAGATTGGATGGAAAAGCAAATTAAGCTTGTTGGCGCATTATCGCATCAACATGATCGCTGACAGAAACTGAAGCCAGATGTTCAAATTCGCTCAGTCTGTTTACAAATGACATTATGCCTGTGTGTCTCTCTGCACCAGCTGGCAAGCCAAAGACAAAGTCAGAGTTCACTAATTTCCAGCAGTCCGTAAAACGGACAGGCTCTGCATTGAAGCTAACGCGTGATCTGCTGGTTGATCCTGCTGTCCGCCTCTTCCGTTCGCACACACGCGAATACTTACATGTTCATACACGACCGCCAAAAGGTGTTAATACCGCATTGGAGATCTTCAAATGCCAAAATGGTCAATGGAAGGCTCATCAGAAGACACAAAAGTACACTGTCCCTATTTTTTCGTGGAATGATGTTGTTTAGTTTTTTGGCTATACGTTTATGAGAGTAGGACGTAAGTTTTTTGGGAGCGAAGGAGCTTCGACCTCTTAAATCACTCTACTTTGGCGTCTTTGCCCGTTGACAGGAACCTTACCGAAGATCTAATAGCCTTATTTTCAACATGTCTGGGAGATTTTGACCAAGTGATGTCGTGACCCGACTAACATGCATAAGCTATCTGTATGCAAACGAAATGGCCAAGTAGTTTTTGAGCAAAGTGTACATTATCATGTTCTTTCCGAAACCATGGTTGAAGATCTTGATATGTCGTTTTCGCCGCGTTTTAAAAAAGTTTGTTTGTTTATTTGTTGGGAGAATTGCTGCTGTTTTCCACTGCCAACCAGTCACAGGCGATTTATCGGACTATGAGGGCCAGTCGTGTACACCGCCCTGGTTATGCGATGAAGATCCGCCCCCGGGTAGTAATAAAAAAAGGATGAAAGATAGTTACGGACTGATCAACTTGGATATGCCTTGACCAGATTAGGTCGCAAAATAAGCCAATCATAAAATTCGCAGACCCCTCATTTCCGATTTGACTTCTGTTGATATTGACACCAGCACTTTTGAACGTCATGTCAGAACATGAAGTGCGAGCGTCTTTCCCCTCGTGCACAGC